CCCCCGGGTCCCCGCCCCGCCCCTGGCTCCGCCCTGCCCGTCGTCCCCGCCCCCAAAGCGGTGGGGCAGCGGGCGCGGCCTCCTGGGGGCGGGGCTTTGGAGGTAAGGGGTGGGGCTGTGAAACCTGACCACGCCTCCAAATGTCGCTGATTGGACAGATCGGACCTGTGGGCGTGTCTGCCTGCTGCCAGAGGCGTCCGGCATCTGCCCCGGAGGTCCGGTTTCTTAGCCTCATTAATGGCCTCATTAAAGTCTTTGTGGCTGGATGGTTCCTCCGCCTCGCGGTGTGCCCACGCACCCCTGCAGGACCACGCCGCTGCAGAGCCTGGCGTGTTGAGAGTGAGGACAAGATTCTGCGGATCTTTGGACACCAGCTTGATGACCCCAATCTGCCTGGTAAAAACACATGAACATGTTTTAGCGAAAAGAGGAAAGCGATCCCTCCATAATCCGGCTCGGGCTAAGCCTCTTTGAGAATCAGAGTGACGTTTCCGCAACTAGACTTAAAAAGAAAAAAAAAAAATCTGGGCTTGGGAACATTTATCTAACCCGGGAACTGAATGTTTGAAGCCCACATGCCTATTTTTCAGAGCATTCGACACCAACAAGGATGGGTATTTTTAGACCAGCCTTTCCTTGGAATTAAGGGCCGTAATCCAATCATGTCCTTTTCCCCTGGGCCAAGGAACAGTGCCCCGGCCCCTTACCTCACAATGCACGACTTGGACAGTGGACGTCCTGTCATAAACATGTTCTGTTGCACAATCAGAGATAAGCTTGTGTGTCTCTTCACTTCGTGGTTCCAGGCTTCAGTGCATCAGAAAAGCTAGAAACTCACTTCCTGGATCCTCCTTTGGTTCAGTATCAGTCTGCAGAGATGTTCATCACAACAATTTGGAACAAGGGGACAGCCAGTTGCAGCCTGCCTGCCCTTCCTACAGTCCATAGCTAAGTATGTTTTTACATTTTTAAGTGCTTGGCAAAAATCTAAAGAACAATAGTTCATGGTGTGGAATTTATGAAATTCAAATCTCAGGTCCATGAATAAAGCCATGTAGTTTTTTTTCCCCCTCAGCAGAGTTTAGCAATTAGGGCAGACTGGATGGCTTGCAAAGCCTAGAATATTACCTGATTTTTTTTTCCTTCAGTACTGGGGTTGAAATGCAGGGCTTTGAGCTTACTTAGACTGGTTGGTGCTTGACCATTTGAGCCACCGCTCCAGCCCTGCTTATTGCTACCTATTTTGGAGATGGAATCTAAGGAACTCTTTTGCCTGCTGACCTCAAACTGTGGTCCTCCCGATCTCAGCCTCCTCAGTAGCTAGGATTACAGGCTTGAGCCACTCTGACCCAGCAACTACTTGAGTCTTTACAGAAGAAAATTTGACAGCTTTGAGTTTGAGATTAGCGACAGACCAGACCATTCATTGGATATACTTTTCTTTTTCTCTCTGTTCTTCTTTCTCTCTTTCCTCTCTCTTTCCTTTCCTTTCTCCCTCTCTCCCTCTCTCTTTCTTCCTGTCTTTCTTTCCTTCCTTCCTTTCTTTCTTTCTTTCTTTCTTTCTTTTCTGTCTGTCTGTCGTACTGGAGCTTGAACTAAATCTGTTTATAAAGTCCTCTTTTAGAAACATTTGCTAACAATCCTATCTCCCTAGGTACTGGAGCTTGAGGTTAAGGCCTAGGCACTATACTTACCTTAGTTTATTTGCTCAAGGCTGAAGCTCTACCACTTGAACCATAGATCAACCTTCTCCTTTTTGGTGGTTTATTGGAGAGAAGAGTCTATAAACTTTTCTGCCTGGGATGGATCTTGGATCCTCAGGTTTTAGCCTCCTGAGTATCTAGGATTACAGGTAGGAGCTACCAGCATGCAGTTTTCAATCTATCTTGTTTTGTTTTTTGTTTTGTCTTACAACCCAAACATCTCTTTCCTGCTATTGTCTCTAATCCTATGCTCCAGCTGCCTAGGTCTATTAGTTGTACTTTTGGTTCATTTGTTCTCTACTGGATCTTTTCTTCCATCCTCACCAAACTACACATTAGTCAAGGCTCAGCTTCAGCTCCAGCTTCTCTAAGATGACTTTTCAGATTCTTCCAGCAGGAGAGGTTCTGCTCCCAGACAACAAGAGTACCTGGTAATCCAGACCTTGGATATATTTGTGTTCATCTGTTTCTCTGCCCAGTTCAGAGAGTACAGGCACCAATCTAAAACCAATTTATTTAACTATTTTTTCTTTGTTTAATGCCAATCCTGGGGCTTGAACTTAGGGCCTGGGTGGTGTCCCTGAGCTTTTGTGTTTAAGGTTAATGCTCTTACTTGAGCCACAGCAACATCTATGGCTTTTTAGATGTTCATTAGAGATAACAGAGATCCCTTCAGATTGCAGCCTCCAGAGTATCTAGGATTATGGGTATGAACCTCTGGCACTTGGCTAACCTTTTATTTTTAAATAATTGCAGACTCATAGAAGATGTGAAATTAGCACAAAGGTATCTCTCCTGCTCACTGTCCAGCCTTCTTCAGTGGTCACACCTTACATCACTACAGCATCTTAGGCTTCCAACAGTTTTTCTTTTTCTTTTTGGGGTCCGGTCGTGGGGCCTGAACTCTGGGCCTGGGTGCTGTCCCTCAGCTCTTCA